GAGTAGGTCTGGGGTTTGGCCCAAGATGGGCACATGGCAAACTGGCATGTGTCATCTACATTGTTTATACTTTTCTGTATGTTGACGGGTTTACGGATGCATGCAACACTTAGCATACGGTGGAGCGAGTCAAACTAGCAGAGGGTAGTCGCCGACCCCGCTATTGGCTGCTGGGGTCGAGCGCTAAGCCCTCAAAAAAGGTCCACGCCTCGACTGCACCTGAGGACAGCCAGTCGAGCGCCTGCATAAGCTTTCTAAGGAGTTGGCACCAAGGAGGACAAGCACAGGAAACGTCCAACCCTGGATGGCACGAGACCCACCAGGATACAGCCCCTGTTCCAATGCCGCACAACCCTGGATGGCACAAGACCCACCAGGATACTGCCCCTGTTCCAATGCCGCAGTCCTTCCCAAAGGCTTCTAGTAGTTCAGACAATAAATCGTTGGCACCAGTCCATCTTCCAGAATCCTAAGCCCAAGCCCTAAACAACAAGTTCGAGGCTGTAAGCACGATACTCGGTTCTGTCTCCCTGCCCATGCCATATGGCGTCGGATACGGGTGCAGCGTCAACGGTAGCAGGATGCGAACTTAGGTCTGAATGAGATCCTACACCCTGACCCACGCGACCTTGGCAAGAGCACGAGGACCCCCTTCACGGTGTGACCATCCGAGGTAAGATGATGTCGGCAGCAGGAACGAGCACAGCACATCATGAGAAGCGCTGGCCTCGGCCTCGGGAACGCTGACCTCAGTCCGCGTTGCACAAGCTTCGTGAGATGATACCCCTGCATCGCTACGCTGTTCATGGAGGGCCACCAGGCCCCTTCAGGGCCGACCATCCGATGTAAGATGATGAAGGCAGCAGGAACGAGCACAGGCACAGCATAATCAGAAGTGCATCCAGACAGCAAGAAAGCAATGCTCAGCCAGAACAAGTGCCATCTGTCTCAGAAACCGGCCAGCGGGCGTAGTTTTTTTTACGACCCTGCGCCTGCGTTGAAGCTGGGAAAGGATTCGGGATTTCATGCAGTGGGACGGGTTCTGTAGTGGGGAGAAGGGGGACACGCCGCTGGGGATTCTCGTTTCGGGGTTTTCAAAGCGAAGGCCCCTGAAGGTCTAAGTCTGAAGTCCCAGGTTAGCGCCCACTCAAAATGCTCCATGCCATGGACTGAATGTGTATCTAGAGACCTTGAGGCATGTCATCATAAGGAGCCCTGAGTGGATTTCAAGTGTATTCCTTCTCGAGGGACATTAGGCTGTCTGGTGCCTCTGATGCTTGGAACGGTAGATTCGGCCCGGTATGTCAGGTATGTTGTCGGAAGTGTCCCTGGAGCCTACCTGCAGAAAGGCTGATGAGCGGTGAGGCAACCTCGTTCAGCATTCCCCGAGACTTCTTAATCGAGGACCTTCGTCCCTCAAGATCAGAAAATCCACAAGTTCAGGATGCTGAGAGGCTCCGAAGCCCCGCAAGTAAGGAATCTACCTTATGTTGAAAAGGGATCGTTTCATAGATTTGCTTGACAAATATCGCATTCTCAGTGATACTGGATTAGGGTTCAGGAAATACTTTACATCAAGAGGGAATCTTGAGATATTGTGATGTATACTCCCTTTAAACCATCATAGAGGTACATTTCCATAATCAACGGCTTCGGAGGCTTTGGGAACTCAGGGACCTACGGCTTTCACGGGGGCTCCAAAACAGATCACACGTCTTTTAGGACAGAGCCTTGAAGGTTGCAGTTGAGGGTTGCAAGGTTCAGTTGCTCGCATCAAGCCATACATGTCACGAGCACGTTTGTATGCATGTTGCTTGTACGTCTGCTCGTATATCTGCCCGTATGTACGTACCATGTATGAGTTTATGCATGCATATGTCATAAGCCCTACCCACCCTACATCCTGAAGGTCCTAAACCCCTTGTGTTACACGTGGGCTCGGTGTCTCCTTTGGCTTTCGTGTGTAGTCGGCATACTTAGGCCCTCCGCGAATCAAAGCCTTGAAGATAAATCGAAACCTTACACCACAAACCCTGCAGCCCTATATCCTTACAGCCCAGAGCATTTTTCGGCTGTTTCTATGCGGCCACGTGTCAACAAGATTCCGAAGCCTTACTTTGCTTGCCGGTGCAACTTGACCAATTTCACTTGGGAGCTTATGGCACGTGAAAGTCAAGTACATGATGAACACAAGCGGGCGGTGAAACGTCATCGAAGCAACTTTGGCGCCCACAGCCTCCCGGGAGCGTTGTCACATGAACGGTTCGATCAGGGTCAGGGTTGCAGTTTTGACCGAACTCACGCTTAGGTTTCCACCTTGGCTTCTGGATTGAGAATCTACAGCACAGACCTTCGTTAAATAGTGCTCTCTACATGAGGGTAGCATGGAAGCTTCTCAAGAGGCCAAGCTGCACCAAGACACTGCCTTCAAACCGGAGCCGCGGCCTGGACCCTACAACCGAAATCCCCGCAAGCCCCCAAAGTCGTAAGCCCGATATCCTGCAACTGAATCCCGTTGCGAGGAGGAGCACCTGCCGCCAAGACGCAAACTGGGATGCTGCCAAGGAATCTAAGGAAGGAAACCACGTCAAGTACAATCTGGCCATGTTATGACAACTTATTCGGAATGCTTTCACGGCAACCCAGGTTAAAGCCAGACGATCCGAAGTCGCGAACGTCTAATTGTCTAGAAACAATAGTTTCAAAGGTGAGGTGCCCTTAATTCTGAACCCGCGGCCCGAAAAATTCTTGCGCTGGATGACGGTCGGACACTATTCGAGACGTGCTAGGTTTTGTCTTTCGCTGTAGCAGAACCAATCTTATCAACTTTCGGGGTAGGGGATTCTATTCTACATGTATTCGAGATGCCTGAGGAATAACCAACCGCATCACAAACAATTTCGGGCCCGAACTACTTCTCAAAGTTTGGACTCGGGCGTCTGGCTGAAGGATCAACAGACTCGCATGTCCTGCTATCAATTGCTCACAGGGGCAGCTTGAAAAGACCCGCACGAAACCGTGAACCCAAGACTCCCAAGTCCGAACCCTACAGCCGACAGCCTACCTACAGACTATACACCTTTTATCCTGAAGCCGAAAGGCCCTGAGCCCGATATTAGTAACACGCCCTAAACCCTGTACCCTGAAGGCCCAAGCCCGTCCTCTTCTTGAGGAGGGTCATCGCAGCTGGGTCGACGCTGTTGCGCGACCCGGCGGAGGACGATTCAGACTTGCCTCCAGAAGTCTTTCACGGGCCGGAAGCTCGCGGCTTCGGGATTTAGACTTTTTTGAGTGCTAATGCTTACGGGTTTGCAGATTTGAGAATTCGTGGCTTGGGGCTTGGGGTGGAGCGTGCTAGCTCTTCACATGTCAACGTGAGCTTGGCTACCCACAACAAGAACACCCAAGCTCTGACTTCGACGCGGGACCTTCTAATGCTGCGCTGCGCATTCCCGGGCACGCCATGCGAACCGGCCAAACTTTGACAGAAGAAGCAACACCGTGGCGAAAATGTCCGAAATGCTACCATAGCGGAAGCAGTGCGGCAACATTTTCAAGAACCAATCGTTCGGATGCTAGAACATTCCTGGGCATCGTAAGCTGCAGCAGTTGCCCCAGGAGCGTGCATATGCAACGGGACGTTCGCACCTCGCACAACCCGATAAGATTTCTCAACACCGGGCCCTTCAAAGGCCTCCACCTTCCAGGGTTGTTGAGACGTTCAGTGCTTCCTACATGGGCCACTGGCCAACACAACCGTTTCGAACAAGCACCGTCCCTCTACCAAACCCGTAAACCACTCAATCCCGAAGTATAGTAGAGAACTACTACTTTCAGCTTTGTCATGCCTGGAATAAAGAACCGCTCAACAACCCTTGGAAACCCTGTACATGAAACCCACCGAAGACCTGCGAACAGCACTTCATAAACTCTGCCAAAGGACCCGACACTCCCGACGCCTGAATACTGGTCTTTCAGCACCTAAGCCAAACAGAGACTGGCACACGGAGCCATCAGCACGAGAGGCGAAAGGACAGAAGGCCTGGGCTCGGCTGTACAAGTCGTCCAGGTCGGGGTCCAGGTGCTTCACCTTTCTTTGCGCAACGTCAGCGAGGTCTCTTTCAGGCTTATCGTTGCTTCTGTCTCTGTTCAAGGCAATTTCGGGCTGCGTGCTTGCCGGAGTGACCGGTACAGCAATGTTAGGTGCCTTGCAAGCGGGGCAGGCAAGTTTTCATCCGGTCTTAGAAGGCTTCGCAAAGTTTCACCGGGGGTACTGCTTCTCGTACATTTGTACAAGCGACAGGCATGTTGCCTCTTTTCGGGCTGCGTTTCTCCCTCCCCGGCCTTGGTGCCTCTGTTGGAGGAAGATGCTGTATTCCGGGTTGGGGGAAGCGTGGGGAGGGTGGGGGTTCGTGCATTTTGGGCAGACGACCATCCCTTTTACGTACTGATCATCCTGATCATCTGTAGAATACCAACACAGGGCCCACAGTGTAGAACAGCCGAGCTGACCACAGCACAGAGCAATCACCGATCTTTCGCCCAACAGTGTCTGGATGGCTGCTGATTCATAATTCATCATTGTGGCACTCACAGACCGTAAATGAATTCAGACCTGTCGTGCGGAAGGAGGGCTGAGTTAAAGTCGTCACCTTCATAGTCGCAACAAGTCGTGAACTTCACATCACAGCTTTGGGCTCGGGCAAATCTCCGCGTGGGGTCTCGGTCTGGGGCAGCCGGTGACTGCGTTGCTGTCGTGCGGGGCTCCGGAGAAGGCCAGTCCCGGGGCCCTGGACACCTCTGAACGCCACGTAGGAAGTCCACGTGATGCGCGCGAGCCCTCGCGTAGACGCGTAAACGCAAACGAACTCACGGATGATGAGAGGTTCTTGTCTCTGTGTGTGTGTCCATGTGCGTGCACCTTTGTTTGCTTATGGTTTGTGTTGGACCCCACCACACCACTTCTAGGCACGCTTGAGGAAGAATGCTAGGGTTTTGGCTGGCTCGACGTACTGCAGCACCGTGCCCAGCAGCTCGGATCTGTCTGCACCTATCGATTGGGCTTTGGGTTTTAGAGCCTTTCGTTGCTGTGGCGTAACTTCTCTTAAGGGCTGCGGAGAGGTTGGGGGTGGGCAAACGGTGTGTAGGGTTTGAGGAAGTTCTCGAGCCCCACCATGACCCGCAGCAGCTCTTTCGGAAGCTTCAAGGGGCTCTGCAGGCTTTAGAAGGATGATTGGCCTCAAAACTTCACTTGCCTGGACCATAAGAGGCTTAAGGCCATACAGGACCATAGTCCCAAAGCCAGGCATAAACCCTAAGGCCTCATCCCAAACCATTCCTCCGCAAAACGAACCGTAAGGAGCAAGAATAAAAGCCCCAAAGTACGGAAGACTACAATTCTACACAGTGAGAACCGTAAAACCCGACCCTTAAGCATCCCTAAAGACTCCGAGTTCGGCACTCGGATCCCGAAGGAGTGTTCTGGCGACATGCCCTGCCTGAGCCGCAAGAGTTCAAAGTGCAGATGGAGGGCATAATGTAGGGGCCTTAAGAATTTGAATAGGCTGAATAGGGTCTTGGAGCCCAAAACACTATAATTATAATAAGGAACCCCCAAAATAGTATTGGTAATCATTTAGGCCCCTATATTATCTGGTGGCTTCTACTCCATGGTTTTTTGGGTTCTGGGCAGCCTGGTGTGGTCAGGAGCTTTCGGTTCCGGGTCTGAAGCTTTAAATTTCAGAGTTGGGGTGTAGTTTAGGGTTGGAAAGTCAGAAAAGCCTTCGGCTTGGGATTCGGATTCCGGATTGGGAAGAGTTGGTCTTTCAGTTAACCTGGGGTAAACCACAGAAAGACTCTTACTATGACGCCTTCGGGCATCGGCTTTTGGGATCAAGGAATGCGCGTGTCATCTTACCTCTTAGAAGCAGAGTTTGACTGTGACGAGGTTCCGATAAACTTTGGGTTTGAGGCGGAAGCATGTAATTGTCCAAAGCACGCGGGAGCTGTTCTGGAAGGCCTAAATCCGTGGCTAAGCTTCGGGGAAGGCCATCCTACTCGCATGACCACTACTTATCGCTTGAACATCCCATTCACGTACACTTCCACTCTTGAAGTTGTAGGCTATGCATCGCGCCGTTGTAGAAAATGGAGATTGGGATGTTTTGCAGGAGCAGCAACAGTAGCAGTGACAGCAGCAGTAGCGGTGGTGGTGGTGGTGGTGGTAGTAGTAGTGGTGGCAGCAATTGTCTGGCGAAGCTCTGTTGCTTTTTAACTTTGACAGGGCAAAAGTCACAACTGTCTTGCACGCCGCTCATCTCGAAGGCTGCCTCAGTGCAACCTGAACCCTTGAAGCCCTATCTGCAAAGCTTGTTTCCCAACGCAGCGCAAGATAGCTGTGCGCGTGGTCTTTGTTTGTTCGTTTCTTTGGGTTCTTGTTTCTTAGTTGGCTCTTTTGTCTCTGGGCACGCATTTGTCGAACTTCGCCGCTCGCAATGTGATGCTCTTGACTTCGGGAGGTCTTGTGTGTTGGAGGTTCTGCGGATTCGTGCCGGTGCAGCAGCGAAACGGCTCAACATCATCTACATCCGTGTAGTTGTGCTTGTTCTAGCTATTGCCCCCAACAGACAACGGCTAAGACCTCAAAGAATCAGTTTCGAACAGCACACGGGCGGACTGTAAAACCACAGACTTTGCACCCTAAAGCCCCAAGTGTAGTGACGGGAGGTGATCTGAGAATTCGGCCGCACCAAGTAAGCTCTGGGCTGCGGCATCGACCTTGAACAGCGTAGGCGAGGGGTTTTTGGTTTCAGAGTGTATGTTTTAATGACTTCGGGCTTGGTTGGGTACTTACCTCGCGCTTCGGATTATAGGGGTATCACCTCGTGCTTAAAAGTGTTTGAAGTCCTCCTTTCGGTGGTTTTGACGAGTCTACTGCTGCATTGGCTTGGCTTCGGAGCCTGTCACCTGCAGTGTCTATTGCGCATCTCGAGGTTTTGGTGTGGCGTTGGGCTTGCCGTGTAGGGTGTTCAGTCCCAAACCCAAAACTGCCCCTCGCCTAGGCCCAAGTCCCGTCTCCTACCTCCAAAAGCCGCAAGGAGCTCCCTGAAGCCCAAGACCCTGTCCCCACATCCTGAGGTCCTACCTGGATCCCTAAACCCCAAACCCTGAAGGCCAAACACTTTCCAGTGGGAGCCCTTGAAGAACAGCGAACCCCTAAACCACATTGTTCAGAAAAAAACTTGCTGCGCTTCGCACCTGCAGCGTCACAGCATGGCAGGAGCTGCAGCCTGCAAGGAGAAACGCTAAGAACCCGAAGCTTCCGTTGTTACTTGTAGGTTTAGGGTTTAGGGGTAGGGCTTTTGAGCTGAAGCTTCGGGGGCTTGGAGCATTCTCTCTCTGAAAGTGCTGTATCGTTGCAAAGGGTTCAAGCGCTTCGGATTTAGGACTTCCTGTTCGGTGCTTAGAGGCGTTGAGGCTATGGGAACCCCGCGAGGACATGTTCGAAGACATGACCACAGCTGCTGAGCTCAGGCAGCACTCTCTTATTGTCATGCCGAAGGAGGTTGCGCCTAAACTCCCGTACTTCCCTTGAGGGCTTGGCTTGGCATTTCCTGCTTCAGGACTTGGCAGGAGGTGTTCTTTTTGATCGCGGAGGTTAGGTACCGTGCGTGTCGCAGTATGAGTTCTACCCCAGAGAATCTGAAAATAGCTCTGGAAGTCGCCGATATGTGGCATTCATGCCGCAATCTAGCCGTTGGGGCTGAGGGTAACGCCTTCTCGTCATAAAGGGGGGAGCTCGAGATTGCGGGACTTCAAACCTTAGGGTCTGGGGTCTGTTGCTTGTGGTTTCAACAAACGAATGAACTTTCGGTTAGACCGAACATACTTCTGTCTCCAAAAACCACTGAACACGACCCAAGGAAACCCAACAACACCCTAAGAACATCCGAGGGCTCATGCAGGCAAGCACACCTTGCGAAGCAGGTTATAAAGGGCTCATAACCTGATTCTATGTCAACAGGGCCGACTCGTCGCGAAGGTCTGGAACATCTTGACTCCACTGCTCACTGGGCCCACGCACCCCTCTCGGGCTTCAGCTTCCGCTGCCGTTCGACCTGTGGGAAAGGTTCAGGGCTAAAGAGTCCAGGATCGGTTTTCAGGACACCGCAGAAACGAAGCTCTCTGGTATGCTCAAGTCCAGCACGGTTCCTAAATTTGAGACCGGTCCTTCACGGACCTGGCGAGCGACTGTTGGTCCCGGCACCGTTGCGCGGCACATAAGATGAACTTGTGGGCATCCCTCAAAGTACCCTAATCAACCGGATAGTACTCTTATGAAAGCCCGTATAGAAGATCTTAAACTTACAGAAGCCGATCCCTTCCCCCTGCACTTCGGGAGTTGCCCGTGGCTCTCGGAGGCCTTGAAGCTCTTGGCCTCCCAGAGCTACCCGGGCCAAGGCTCGAAAGGCGCTGTCAACACCTCAAAAATCTAGATCCCAAAAAACCAGGAAACAACAACGCCACTGTCCCTATCCTATCTGCCAGGCCTCAGCACGCAGCGACTGAATCTTCACGGCCAAGTTGTCCAACACCTGGCGCAGAGCTTCTTTGCCCTCTGGGGGCTTTTAGGCTTGGCTTTTCCTCTATGGTTATGGAGCTTGAGAATGATGGGTTTAGCGAGTGTAGGATCGTCGGGACATGAAGTCTGAGCACTCATGACCTCCGTGACCATTCACGAGGTGGCAGCTTCCGGAACCTTAATGAAGGGAGAGACGGAAGCCCCAATTCGAGCAGGCACTCATACCGGTTCTTGGGTGAGTGCAAACACCCTACCGTGTCGGCTTCAAGATGACTTGCAGGCAGAGTAAATTCAAACGACGCAACACCCTCAACCTGCCGAATGCTGGAACCGTATCGCCGTCTAAGCTGCGTTACTTAACTCCGCACGGAAGTTTCAAGTCTAAACCCTACAGCAGACGGCGCAGGTCGTTTGTGTCCTAAGATTCCCACACCCAAGTGCTGAACACTTGAAACCACATGCGAAACGAAGCTTGGTTCCACCGGCCGGACTCCTCGGTGGGGTGGACTACATCTGCCATCATTTAGCCCAAATCGCGTTGCCCAAAGCCTTGCCCAAGGATGCAATTAGCTACAGCTGGCTTAAAGACTGCAGAGGTTGAACCCGAAAAGAGCCCCAACAGCAAGTAGCTCACACCTAGTTTAGGGTTTAGGGTTTAAGGTTTAGGGTTTAGGGGTTTAGGGCTTAGGGTGGGCCTACAGAAACGACAACCCTCGGGACCCCTTCATGGCCTTGACCTCGACACATCACACATCGAACACTGCTACTAAACTAGGTTGGCCGCAACGCCTGGCAACTCCATTGCCAGCCGTTTTTATTCGCAGTCCCTTCCTTGAGCTGCAAGGCTTTGGGCTGATTTGGAAAGACTTCGGGCTTGCAAGAGTGAAACATGACAAATCTGATCTGGATTTGCACCCGAGATTCAAAGGCTAGTTCTTTGTTACGCTCTTTCGCTGTGTGGCTGCGTAGCTGCACGGCGAGCTCTACATGAAGGAATGCTTCTCTTACTCCCATATTCAACATGAGCACTAAAGACGCTCACCAACATCTCTAATACATACCCTACTTCACATAGCCCTTCGGACAATTTGATGTTTCTTGTTTTGTTGCCTCGTGAGTCCTGCATGATGCTCGGATACCAGACGCACACCCTAGTAGGTGTACTCTCTCTTGGGTCATGACCCAATGCACACTGAAGAGGTTGTGTATAGTTCATACCCCAAACAATTCTTCGAAATATAAGACTTTAGTGACTCTACCGTTGTATCTGTTCTGATTGCCAGGCCAATGCATGGCTGCACGGATCGTTCCAGCCCCTTCGCACATACCCAAAATGGTCATGCTGCTGGAAGCTGAATTCAATTCAGAGAGAAAGCAACCCATCAAGAATTAATCTTCACTGTGATAACGCCTAGAGGTGCCACAAAATCTGTGGAAGGTGAAATAGCCTAAACCCTAAACTCAAAAGCCTATACTGCCCTAGACCAAAACATATGCGAGAAATCCTTTCGTTGCATCTCGTTGGGTTGCAAGAGGCTCTTATAATGACGAACCCTGTCGCCTCATGCACAGGAGCCTGCAGAATCAGTCGCCATGGCAGCAGCAGCAGATGATAGCAGATGTGCAACGCCGTCATGACCTGCCTCTGATGCGAGCATCCGGGCTGTCTTGTCGTGCTTGTCTCGGGACTTTGTCTCTGCACCAGCTTCCAACAGCAAGCGTGCTGTTCCAAAGTGCCCGTTACGGGCTGCGGACCTTAGTTGCTGAGTTCATATGCCAAAACAAATCTACATTTCTGCTTTTCATTAGGGGGTGTTTTGATTATGTATTTTCCAAAAACTTCGAAGCTTAACTAGCGGAAATACTATTTCAACACTGAGGAACATCAGGGCTGTCATGCCATCATGCTCTTGCCAATCTTTGTCAGCACCAGCTTCCAGCAGCATTTGTGCAACATCCGTATGACCACCCTCAGATGCGAGCAGTAGGGCCCGCTCGCAGTCCAAAAGCAGAGGTGCCTTCTCGGCACGAACTTCCAGCAGCAAGCGCGTAATCTCCAAGTCACCACTTCGAGATGCGTGCATTAGAGCGGTCTCGCGGCCAATGTCCCAGAAGCTCGTATCAGCACGAGCTTCCACTAGCAAACGTGCAATCTCCAAGTGGCCATTCTCAGATGCATGCATTAAGGCTGTCTTTCCTGCAAGGTCTGCGCAGTCCTTGTGAGCACCGGCTTCCAGCAGCAAACTTGCAACCTCGACATGCCCCTTGCGAGATGCTAGTGATAAGGCTGTCGCGTGGTCTCGGCCAGGGAAGTTGGCGTCTGCAGCGGCTGCCAGGAGCAAGCACGTGACCTCCACGTCGCGATTCTCGGATGCCCACATCAGGGCCGTCACACCATCTTTGTCCAAGGACTCTGTGTTAGCACGACGGTCCAGCAGCAAGCGCGCAACATCTAGGCGCTCACTGACCAATGCGTGCATTAGCGCTGTCATGCCGTCGTTGTTGTCTCGGCGATTCATATCAGCTGTAGCTTCCAGCAGGCACTGCACAACCTCGATTCGTCCACTCTCAGATGCAAGCATTAGGGCTGTCATGCCGTTGGGGTTCCCCATGTCTTTGTCTGCACAAGCTTCTAGCAGCAAGCGCGCAACCTCCACGTGCACACTTTCACATGCGAGCATGAGGGCTGTCATTCCGTCGGGATTCCCGTAATCCGCATCAGCACCAGCTTGCAGTAGCAAATGCGCAATCTGGGCATAACCTCCCTGAGATGCAAACATTAATGCAGTGTAGCCATTTCCTTGTCGAACGTTTGCGTCAACACCGGCTTCCAGCAAGAAGCGGACCATCTCGATATGATTGCGCTGTGAAGCCGCTGTCAGGTCCTGTCTAGCCAAAGCCACAGTGTCGACCGGGAAATACCTAGTAGGCAATCGAGTAGCCTCAGAGATGGGCTCCAGTATCAACATGAGCTCCATGCCAGCTTGGAGCTTTGTATATTGAAATAAACATCTGTCGTTGTGCAACAGTACCTGCAAATACACCTGAGTCTAGGCCCCCGCGAGGAAGAGAAAGACGGGTCGTTTCTGGGAATCTAAAATGGAAAACTCGAACCAACAAAAGTGGCAAAAAAGATCCCGAAGCTTGACCGGGATACTGGAAAGCCATGCACTTTACACAAATTCTCCTTCAAAGCACCCGCGTATTCGAACTCCTCCGCACCGAAGGCGGCCAGCTCTTGCCCAGAAGGTCTCCAGACGGGGATCATTCCCAAAGGTGCGGGCGACTGACACTAAACCCTACACCCTCAACACTAAACCCTAAGCCTTAGACCGAGCCTAAACCCTAAACCACCCAAGACCTTAAAGTGCCCAAAACCTTAAACTGACAGCTTGCGAAGAGAAACCAGGAGCGTCATGCCAACAAGATAGGGTTTAGGGTTAGGGTGGTGGGACCAGTCTTCTGCAGCTTGTGGACAGGTGCACAGCAGTCTTCGATGCTTCCATGGCCGATTCGTGATTTTTTTTAGAGTATGTCAGAGCCCTCCAA